TGATCTCAGTGCCCCTGGTTTCCCCGGTCCCCGAGCACATGCTTCATTTTAACATCTGTGAAAACTCCTGTTTATTCTAAAGGGGCTACTCCCAAGTGTATTACAAGTGTTTGACTAAGCTCCTGACCTGGGGAGGATGAAAAGTGACTGTGATGCAGTTGGTACAGGGAAGATTTCATTGAATCTGCATTTTTCCCAAGAAGAGTGAATGAATTAAATGACATTCAACATAGATTTTTCTATATTTGCACAGTTTATTACCTGGTTGAAATGGAAAAGGAAGCAATAGAATCCTGACAAAAGGGAAAGAGAATTATGGGTCTTGTTCTGTAGCTCTCCAGGAAAGGCAGGATTCCCCAGTTTGTTTCTATACTGTTCTTTGTTCACTCAGTTGACTATAACTGTGATAGTTATAGTTGGCTTTTACAGGTCTTTGGAGATGTTATCGGCTCTGTGGGTCTTCCAAGTGGGGCAAAATATTTCTTCTTTTATGTTTCAGTGTTTCATTTAAAAATTTTTTTTAAATGCATGCTTAGCTTTTTCATTGTAGAATCATAGGGTGAAATTTTGTTTCAAAAATTTAATCTAAGAGATAATTTCCTGTAAAATTGTTCAGTTTATGACAGATTTCCTTTTGAAAGGTACTCTGTTGTCATAATGGGCCTGTTCCGCAGCAGCATTTAGAAATGACACTTTCTCTTTAAAGAGGCTGATGTTGAGCTGCCCAAGTAAGCGATGCTCTTTTCTTCTAAGACCACAGTGAAATGTCAGCTGACGAAAGCACTTGGACGCTGAGACCTTTGCAGCCCTTTTTGTGGGAGCACAGACACCAGAGTGTCTTGGCTGGGATTCAGCTGGGGTAGTCACAGTCTGCCTGGTCCGTAGTTCTTCTGCGGTTTTAGCTTGGATGGGCGCCACTCCTTCCTTCCCTCTGTAAGTGATTAAGCAGTCTGACTGAGTTTCATCAGTGAAAGAAGTAGAGAGGAGCACAGTGCACCTTTTGCAGAGAGCTAGCAGGGGCTGGCAAGCAGGGAAGGACACCAAGCTGAGCTCCTCAGTCTCTGACACTTGCTGGCTACAGCAGTCCCAGAGCTCTGCCCCAGTCACATGGCAAGGTGCTGTGTGGGGCACTGAGAGGTGTAAAACAGCCTGCTGAGGAGACTGAGGCGCCTTAAAGTTACAAATCAAAGCTTCCAACCATCTAAGCCTGTTGTTGCTTCTGGCCCACAGCACCTAATGTCCTAGCAGATGGCTGCACTTGCTAGCACTGCCCTGCTCCTGCCACTTGAGAGGACCACACTGAGTATTGCCCACTCCACACCAATGAGGCTTTGAGATGCAGGGTTTTCTGATGTGTGTGCTGCTTTCTGTGTTAGGGTGCACATTTCTGAGCTTTGCACCATAGCTGACAGATCTTGGCTAGGAATATTTATTTCCACAGCATTAAAAAAAAAAAAAAACCAAACAAAAAACCCCCAAAGAATCTGGCACCAAGACAAGGACTTTAAGAGCAGTACCAAATATTGTGGAAGTCTCATTAAAATCTTGAGTGACAGCAACCCTGCAAATTGGAAGCAGCAGCTGTGGAAAATTTTAGCGAAGTGTTGGCATGGTGCTTAAGCTTAATGTGATTCTCCAGGCCTTTAAGGCAGCACCTTTGCTTCTGTGATATAAGACTTCCTTTTATTTTGTTAGTTCTAGCCATAAGTAGAGTTATTTAACGAGCATTAGTCATAATGTCATGGGTATTAGGCTGCTGAGGCAACTTGGAAGCTCTTGTGACCTCCATCTGTGCTGGTGGCCACACAGATTTGACCCCCTTTACCTGCTGCTTTTTGGATTTCCCTTTCTAATTCCTTACTGTCAAGTAAAGCCCATGTGTTATCATCCCTAGCAAGTGGTAGTGGCTGGGCAGCGTTCAGGTGCTGCAGAAGGAAATGAGCACATTGTCCTCAGAGCTCCTTGCAGAGCTAAATAAAGATTTACAGGGCAAAAATAAAATGATGTAATGAGCCTGACAGAAATGGGACGGTAACTGGAAGGTATTAAAAGGCAGGAGTGTGCCACGTTACTGAACTGATTGCCTGCATTTAACGACGAGCAGATAAACCTGCTAAAGTTGACATTGGCTTTGGCAGCTTAAGACATTAGAAATACCCTGAGCACATGTACTGTGTGACTGCTCATTAAGGCGTAAGTGAAAGATTGCTGTCTACTGGGTAAAAGTGTTTATACTGCAGGAAACAGATTAAGTAGTGTTTTAATATACAGGAAAAGAAAAAGTGGTGGTTTAAAAGGAAAACCCAAAACCTCCAAACAAACATTATTTGCCTTGGCTTGGGCTGAGAAACAGCTGTAAGTTGTATTTCGCACAGCTTATAATGGGAAATTAATTGCTCTAAAAAAACATGGACTGCCCCAAACAAATTATGGCACATAGCACTTTTTTTTTTTCCTCTTGTTTTTTTTTAGTGGATGGCTTAAGAGTTTTAAGACCATTTCACACACTAATAGAGACACCAGAAAACTGATAGTCCCAGTTGATAAAATCTGGGCAAGGCTCAGAAAACCTAACTTCTTACAGGAAAAACACTTCTTCAGATAGATTTTGTGTTGCCAAACAACCCCTACAGGCACATAATTTTAAAAACTAAACCCTATCTTTCCAGAAGAGAGACGTGTCTTCCAGAAGCTACCTTTTATGTTCTTTTAATTTCATTTGATGTCAAATTTAGCTCCCTCCCAATATGCAGAAGGTGTTTCGAATTTATTTCTGGATTTATGTATTCCAGTTTTTCCAAATTATTTCCAGACTCAACAAGACAGAAATCTTGTACAGTCATGAAAATTGTTTTTGGTAATGCTGGCTGAATGCTTGCAAGAGCAGCAGGAAAAAGTTGGGTACTGAGGAACCTGGGTCTAGATCTCTGCCCTCAGTCTTGGCGTAGAGAACCTTACCTAGGATGTGTTTGCAAACCAACATTGTGCATTAGCATAAAACTCCTTGAAAGGACAGAAGTGGCTTTTCCATTGCAGCAGAAAGAGCAGCAGAATTTTTCTTACTCGTTTAGGAATCCTATTTCTTAGAGACTATCATTTCTATATCATGAAATATATTTAGTTTCAGTGTAAATATAATCAGATATACTAGATGTGTGTAATCAGGATTTGCTTTTTCAAAATCTCTTGATTTTTAAAGCAGCTTGCCATTTTATCTGAATTAAAAAGACCATCCTCACTTATTACAGCCTTTTTGGCCAAACCACAACAATTTTTAACTGAAATGCATCAGTACAACAGACGTGTGTTGTTGTCACTGTGGCCTTTTTACTCACAGCATTGCTGTCTAGCCAAATGCTCCTTATAGACAAATATACATGACCTACCTAAATTGAAATGTCTATTTGAAAAATAGCAAGTAACATGAGAGTCAGCATGAGACTAACATAGAAATGGTGCCACATCTGATGTGCTAAATTGCTGTTCATCTTGGTAAAACGTCCAGGTTTAAACCTAGCAGTGAATAGGAAGGATGGCTGCTGGGTCACTGGGATGGCTGCTGGGTCACTGGGTGCGGACAACATAGCAGTGTGCTGTTGGGCTGCTTGCTTGTAGGGCTAGCAAACAAAAACCCCAAACACTGGTTTGGAACAAATTCTATGCTGGTACAGAGAGATGTCAGTTTTCCACCAAAATGTTTCTATGCTACGTACTAACAACGCAACCAAAAATTATGTTAATATAATCTGTTGATTCTTGGGTTTTAAAAAGCAGGGATTTTCTGTGGTGCTGCATCCACTGAACTTTGATTAGGTTTTTCTGCATTACCTGAAGAAAAAATGTAATGGAATAAAAGGTATAATCCCTGGTGGGACGTTTGCTGTCCTATTTGTGTGGCATGGTGCAGGCAGGGAGGCATACTCCAAAACCACCCTTCCCCATCCAGCCTCAGAAGTGGCACCACAGAAAAAATTCTTCTTTATGGTGTTGAGGGGAGGAGTGGGGAAAGGTGAAAAGAAATTAGTGTCTGGATTCAGCTGCTGTAAGGTATCTCTTTATGCCAGCTTGAAGGTCAGTTGAAGCATGCAGAAGATTGCTGGCAGAGTTCAGTCCATCACTAGTCATTATAATTTGTCATAGCTAGAAGCTGAATGTATATGAAATCTCTTTTTTTTCTGTGAAGACTGGCTAAGGTATAGTAATACTGCTTCTTGTAGCTATTTGAATCAGACAATGAGATCCCAAAAAAAGTTGTTTGTGCACAGAGCTCTCAGGCTGGGATTAGTTCTCTTCTTTCATTTGTCACTTGCAGGTAATTCATTATTTACCTACAATCAGTCACAAAGGAGTTACTAGCTGTAACAACAACTTAGTCTCCAGTAGATTGCTCAGGCTTAGGGGTGTATAGTTGTTGCCACATACTGACAGAATTTAGTTTTCAGTTAATGTAATAAGCTCCTAAAAACTGCTAAACCCAGGTTTGCTTCCACCAAAATCAACACAGAAACTCAGTAGTGGGTGTGTTATGCCAAAACTGCAAGCAATTAAAAATCATCGTGTGCAGCTTAACTTGGAGGAAGGGCTGACCAAGACTTGCTTCTTGGCATGGGCTGCCTGTTCACGTGCTACACTTTCCATTTGAAACTACTGAAGTATAAAGGTAGGCAATTGCTCGCCAGCCAAGAAATTAGTATTAAACATAAGAATTTCCATGTGGCATTTTAGCCTTATCACTGAATCAGCTTTCATAGTTTCCAACTACAGAGTGTGTCTGGCCATAACCTATTTATTTTTACACCTGTAGTTAAACCCGGCCCCTGCTGTAAACTGGGGTAGTCTTCTGAGGTCATCAGGTGCCTCTGGCATGAAGTCCTGTTGGCATGTACTTGCGAGCAGGACGAGGTCTGGCCCTTCGTGGGAGCTCCACGTCTTGTCACACCCAACTCTTTGGAATTTTGGAAATTTTGGCTGGGTTTTCACACATGTCTTAATCTCGGCAGGGCACTTGCTTTGCGGCGACCCAGACGGCTCTGCTGAGACAGCTCCGGAGGAGGGGGAAGCGCAAGATCTGGAGTCATCTGATGAGGCTGATAAGATGAGCAAGGTGAGAATGTTGCATTTCCACAGCCACAGCTGATGTGGTGGCTTCACAGCTGCACACGATTAGACCATCTTGCCCTCCTTATTTGGAAGGTGTTTATGGATGATGAGGGATGTAACAAATGACAGCTTTGATGATGGCACATCGCTGCCTCTTAAGTGAGACTTGTGCCCTTTTTCCAGGGTTGGTTTGCATCTTCAGTGTCTGGTGGTAATATTCTCACGTAGTTTTCAAATGGGCTGGTTTATCACCTCCTTCACCGCAGCAGGTCAGCTAAACCAAATATTCAGGTGGATTGTTATGATATCTTACTCTTCCATGATTCCTATACATAGGAGGAATGTAAGTTAAATAGTATTTCCTTAAGTCAATAGCATAGTGTACATGCTAGTTTTTAAATGCAAACTAATTACAACCAATCTACCTTAAACTGAAGCAAAACTATCCAATTATAGCTAAAAGGTTGTGCAAATGGATTACTAATTGCCATCTATTAAGGGATGGGTTTCACAGTGGTTGGTAGTTCTAACTTGTTCTGGTGCTGGGGAGCTTTACACAACATTAAGCTTGATGACTAGTGGCTTTTGAGGCAGAATCAAGTGAGATTATTTTAAAGATGCTGATGGCTTTAGGTGTTTTTTTTGCATGGGTGATGGTAAGAGATTACAGCTACTTTCCTACAAAATTAATGATCTAATGAGAATGAGGTCTCAGCTCGTGCTTATGTAACAGGTGTTTTTTTTTTTTCTCAGCTCTTGTTTTAACTAAAATGTGTTATGGTGAGCTCTGAGGTGGTCACTGTGCTATTCTACTTGTCACTAGCGAAAGGAAGGAAAAGACCTTGGCCTCTTGTTTCCTGGTCTCTTATGTCATGCTAGCCTGTAGTTTTGTCTTTGATAGCCAGACAGTGGAAGTCAGATAAGAGAGAACATTCCTATGCATGAAATACATGCAGAGCTTGCATGCAGAGAAGGTGATTACTCATAGTTTGTTTCCAGGTTTTATTACAGAATTTATTCTGGTAAGTACAAAGAATTTATTCTTCAATAAGTAGAAGTGTTTGTTGGTACTTGGGGATTTTTAGCTGTAAAAACGTGGGAAAATTCATGTGCTCTGAAAAGAGGCTCTTCTGTTAAACCCTGAAGCTGTGGAAGAGCACGGAGCAGAACACATGGCTGCTTGGGGAATACATGTTCTCACTGTGCTTTCCACAGCTTTCTATTTCTGAGCCGTGCGACAGGCTGTGAGGTTCCATTTTGTATCTTGCCTCCTGGATCTTCAGAGCTGTAATCGCATGAAGCAAGGCGTAAGGATTGCATGATTAGCCCTTTGGCTCAGCAGATTTAGTTAAACTGAGAAATTTGTATTAGCAGCTCTAATGCTTAATATTCATATATTGGAAGAGTAATTCGTAACTCTCACAAGCCTCGGTTTCCAACGAGGGGAACATCTGCCTTGCTGCAAATGAAATGTTGACCTCAGTACGTGTTTTCTTTTAAAATTCATAAACGTGTCTTCTTTTGTTTGTGTGATATAGAGGGAAGTGAGTCATTTTGCTTTGCTTTCGGTTTGCTGTGGCACAAATTACTTGAAGTAGCCTTCCATAAAAAAGGGATGCGTGTACATATAGTGTATACATACAGTGTGCTCAATGTGGCCAGCTCATGAATGCCACTTTCCCTGCTCTGTACCAAGCTGCTTTTTCTTGGTGGTTCCACTCTAACAAAGGGTACAGACACACCCCAAATTATTCAGTAATGCCTACAGAGAATTCTAGCATATGGTAGAGGGGAGGGGAAAAAGCTCAATCAACAGAAGGGGTTTCCTAATCCCTTTGCTTTTCTGTGTGCTTGGAAAAGCTGATTTGTGTGAGGAGTAAGAAGTCTGCAACGCTTGTTTTTCTGTGGAGAGTCACCGCCACCTGGATGGTGCAGTGAGGCGAGAGGCAGAGGTGTTCTCCTGCTCCTGCGCTGCCGCACCGTTCCATGCTCCTCGGATTATATCCCAGAAGGTTAAGCTGATGTCCTGAGCCCTGTTTTACATGGGTTATTTTTGTACGTGGGAAGTGAAACACTTTGCCCTTCCACCACCAGGAGGGGCATGTTCTCCTGCACTCCCATTACTGCCGCAGCTTCCAGTCTCCCTCGGGTGGTGGAGTTCAGGGGACACTTTCTTTATTTTCTGCCCTTCTTGACAAAGGCAGGGTGGGAACGCTCTTATCCACGCCACGCACTGCTGGGCAGTGGAGGAAATCCATTTTGACTACGCTGGAGCCTCCTGGCTGCAGGCAGAGTTGCCCTTCTTTCAGTGCAGGTGCAGCTTTAGCAGCTGAAGAGCCGAAAATAGTGTTTGAGTGCTTTTGCCTGGCGGTAGCGGGGTCCTGAGGCGGGGGGCGGGGTCCGGCCCGCGCCGCCGCTCCGTGCCGTGGTGCCGGCCGGCTGCTGACGCCCGTGGAGCGCTGCGGAGCAGGAGAGCTCCAAGCTTCTCTGGGGAAAATTCCCGGCTTTCCAGCCCGCAAAGCGATCCTGCGGGAGAGTTAATAATTCATGGGAAAAGGAGAGGAACGCGGCACCGCGGCTCTCCTTCAGCCGTTCCAGTAGCACAGGCCAGGTAGGCGTTTTATGGAGGTAAGCTGTGTGAAATCCTACCAAAATCTGGGCTCGGGTTCCCTCTGACTTACCTGTAGCTTTCTCACGTAGGTCATAGGTGGGTGTGTAACACAGGAGGTACTCCAATGTGTCGTCCCTTCTCCTCATCTTTCCCTTCCAGCCCAGCATGTGTGCATGTGGGTGTGTGTTTTCTTAGTCGTGGTGCATTTGTTTCTTAATCTGCAAAAGCCTCCAAGCTGTTGATGGTGGTGAAAGATTTATAGGGTACACCAGTAGCTGTGAGGATTCCCCTCCCTTTTCTGAAAATCTTGTCTTCTCTAGATCCTATCACCATTGTCAAAGGAATCATTATAATAATAAGCAAAAATTAGATGTCTGTAGAACTATTCTGATAAAATACTAGAAACTCATTTCCAAGGTGTCAGCAGTGCCATGGTGTGGGATAGCTGTGGTTCTCTGGACTCACTCCCTATCTAATTTCATGACATCTTCCCCTTGTCAACCAGACCTCTTAGGTACAGTATCTCTTGGGTTGAAACTTGTGTAAGCAGTAGCAAGCAGGTAGCTTTCTGGGTGCAACTCTTTTCCTTTAAGCTATGCAACTGGCAGTGGCCTGAGTTATGCTCCCAGTTGCTTTTGCTCTGGAGTGATCTCATAACTTTTTTTTCCTCTCCCCATTTCATGTGGTTGCCAAGAGGAGAAGATTGCTGGGAGGGAGAAAAGTGGGAGAAAGGAAAGCCTACTGTCTGCTGCTTCATGAGGCTTGTTTTCATCTGGCATGTGAATTCAAGTTTCAGGCTGTTTACAAACTCTAGATGATTGCCTCCACCCCCCCCCCCCCCCCCGTCATTCTGCAACTGAACAGAGTATCAGGAACATTTCATACTAGAGCAATTTCTTAAATGGTTACTTGCCTCTGTGGTCACCTGGCTTGGCCCTTTGAAAGTTGTAAACTGAAGTTCAAAGGAGGTACCCTGAAAGCTTGAGTATATGTATGAGTTCTTAACGCTGGAGGTTACCAAAGGCTAAGGTGGGTGTTGTGTTGCATCTGAAGATCAGTCTTTGTGCACATTTTTTCCTGTAATGGTCCTTTGAAATTAATTGAGGATATATTTTAAAAACTGTCGTTAGTTAAAATACTGCAGGACACTCATTTCTTTCTGTTTCTAATTAAAAGGCATCTGACTCTTGAAATGAAAGCTCATTACCTTGCAGCACTTGTGCTTGAGGGAGTGTGCTGTAATGGGCTGTGTGTGTACATGCTTATACCATTTAGAGGTGGGTCTCTTTTTTGACAAGAAAATAGGTCATCTTCTCTCTGCAGCATTATTCAAGACGTGAATTAAGTCTCAGAACCTTCAATGTGTTGCAGTAGATGTGAAAGGATTAAAACAGGGATTTGAGGGGTAGGTTTTCCAGTAGTGTATCTGGCTTTTTAAAGTTCTTTTAATTCTGTGCCTCTGCCCCTTCAGATGTTTAATATTCTTCAGCAGTGCCGTTCGTAGCCAATCGGCTTCTGCTCAGCCACAGGCAACAGACATCTATATTCCTGGGCTGCCTTCACCTCCGCTTTGCTGCATTTCAGCCTCGCTGCTGAAGTTCTCCTCTTAACAAGTCTATCAAGAGCAGCATTGAATCTCAGCTTCAGATGGTAGCCGGCTCCAAATTTCAGTGATGTGGTGAGCGAACGAGACCGGCTGCAGATGACACACGTGGAAAGGTTTTGCTTAGAGAAATGTGCTCGCTGCCTTTCCGCATTAAAATGCAGCCGTCTTCAGCCCTGCATACCAAGTAAGCAGCACGGAGTAGATACCTGGAGAGGGAAAGTCTTTTGGACCAGCTGATTGTGTGGAGAACTGGGATTGTCCTGCTGGATGAGTGACAGCTCTTCCCAGCGATGTCTGCTCTTTGGAGAGTTGGCCGCAAGCTCCGGAGCGAGGGCGGCGGGCGAGCGGGGGATGCTCCGTGCCACGCGCCGCAGTCGGTGAGCAGCTCCGCGTGCGACGGACGCCGCTGCGCCGAG